GCCCTGAGGTGTGGCGCGCGCCGTGGGGTGGTCACCTGAGGTGAAAGCTCGGAGAAAACGCCCGGCGCACACGTAAGCCGTTCTTCAGACGATTTTGAGAAGTGTCAGGGTTGGCTTTATAACCAACACTGCTGCAACTTCAGTATTGAATCCTTTCTAAGTGGGCTTATTCTAGAATTTTCTTTCGAATGAAGTTAAGACTCAGTTGCTTCTCTGAGGATGGAAAACCTTGGTATCCCATTCTAATGCAGTGGTAATCTACTGGACTCCCCACCGGATATTGTTTTTTTTTCTTAGTGTTTTATAAAATAAAGAATTCATGAAACAGTAATCTATTTTGGGCAATAGGGTGCCTGGCTCAAATTCTGATAATATGGAAGAAAAATAGAATATTGAAGGGCAACCAGGATATCTCCCCTGAATCCCTAGCACCTAAGCACAGCTAAGCACAGTGTTTAATGGATTACAAGAAAGAAAGAAACAGAGAGAGAGAGGAAAGGAAGAAAGGAAGGAAAACCACGGCACATTTCATTCCTGGGGATGGGTTCAGAAGTTAAATTGGAAGTTTAGCATGTAATAGGAGTGGGGAAAAAATGAGCCCTTAAATTAAAACAGAACTAGATTTGACCCCAGAACTGACCCATCTTTTTGGTACACAGACACAGACACACACAGACACACACACACGGATATGAGTGATGATGTTAGGAAAGCACTGTCTACAAAAATGCACAAAATGATTTAGAGAAGAGAAAGAAAATGATGAAAGCTGAGAAATGGGTCGGAAGCCCAGAGAGATTAGGCACCTGATGAGGACTTGACAAAAAGGAATGGAAAAAAGTGGATGTTTTCAAGAGGCCCTCCAAGGGTAGACAGAATTCAGTAACAGATACGGGTTTGGCAGAGGTTTTGTGTGTGTGTGTGTGAGCGTGCACACAGTATGTATATATGCTCATATATAATGTAGGTATATGTATGCATATGCATATGTAGGTATGTATGAGTTTGAAGTCATAAATTTAAGAGACTGAGATTAGAAGGAAAGGGTGAAAACTATTTGCCTGTGAATTATGTTCTGTCTCCCTGAGCCTTCTGTAGACAAGTTAGAAAATACAACTGTTATAAATTACCTCACACTTATAAGGAGAACAGTTCAATATTATGGTTTGCTCTATAAATGGAATCATGTATTTAATACTCACCTAATATCATTGGAGTTTTTCTTGAACAGCTGTTAACCGAATTATGTATTACAGAGCAAAAGTGATTACCCCTTAGTGATACAACGAAAGTACAGTTTTTGCTCCAGGGGAATAAACACCGCCTCTCTGTGAAGTTCACTAAAACCCTACCAGCACTAGGTATGCTCAAATATATTACTGTTTTTCAAAATAGAACATTCCTTAAAAAAAGAAAAAAATCAGCACCAAGCACCAGGTATGGTCTTCAAAACAGAGTATCTCCTCAAGTTAATAGTCATATTATAAGCATTTTTCCAAATACTTCCAAGCTACCCCCCAAAAACATAGTAATAAAATAGTTATAAAGCAAGCCATTGACCAATAATTGAAAAGAAATGCAATTCCCTCTTTCTGGAATGCCCGTTCCTTAGGTCCCAGCTTAAGTGTGGCCATCTATGTCAGCCGCCTCCCTGACTTCCCAAGGAAAAATAGTAAGATAGTAATAGGCATCAGTCTTCGGACACATGTTATTTATTTATTTATGGGCCAACATATGATATATATCCACAAACGACAATTAGCACCTCTGAGTGCTAGGCTTTATACTTCATATTTAGAAATCAGAGGTCAGTGGAAGACAGTCCAGGATCTCTAGCAGCCTGCAACTAGTAGGGAGAGACAACAGTGAAGTCACAGCTAAGAATGTTTGTGTCTTCATAGAGAATCAGGAGCGAAGGAGTGACTAATGAATTTTCCCAGAGGGCAGGGAACCTTTCCTGAAGACGGACAGCCCTTGGGCTGCATTGAAAGATGAGTAGTTGTGTGTGGTGGGAGAGAGCAAAGGGGCATTCAGAAAGCACATTCTGGGCAGAGGGAGCAACTGAGCATGAACTGGAAGGGAGAAATGGCTTGATTTATTCAAGGAGCTACAAGCTATGCAGTGTGACTTGATTGGCCTTAAATGCCATACATCATGGACTGTGATTTGCAAGAGCTAGCTTGTAGTGACACTGTTTATGGCTAACCTGCAAAAATGCACTAAGTGATTTAGAGCAGGAAAAGCTGAAAAATCAGTTGGAAGGTCAGAGCTTAGGCATCATTTATTAAACAGTGAATACTTTTTGTACTGAGTTGTCTAAAACGTCTATACCCATGCCAGTACTGCTCTTAGTGTACTGTTTTATGATAAATCTTGCCTGTCTTTCCACCATGTTATATTCTTGGGCCTTCACTCATCCATATAAAATTTAGGATCTACTTACTAACTTCCAAGAAAAACCATGTGAAGTTTTGTTTTGAATTTTATTGAACTTATAGAATAATTGGGGGGAAATAGTTATCTTTAAGAGTTATTTCTCCCATTCATGAATACGATTACTTTTTTATCAATATCAATGCCTTCTATTATTTTGCTGGAGATGCTGGCCAATTCAATAAATAAAAGAAATAAGATGAATAAAAACTGGACACAAAGAAATAAAACTATTGTCAGATGAAGTGTTTGTCTACATTTTTGAAATCTACATTTAATAAAGGAGTTCAACAAGGTTGTGGCTATAAGATCAATGTACAAAATCAGTAGCATTCCTGTACAACAGTAATAACTAATTAGAAAATGTAATAAAAATAATCTCTTTCATGAGAACAATCTATCAGAGAACTAAAGGGGCAAGGGAGGGTGACCTGTCAAAATATGTGCAAGAACTTGGGGAGAGAAATGTGCTTTTTCTCTGTGGAAGCTAGAAGTATGCAGAGATGAAGGAAAATACCACCTTGGTAAGGAAAACAGTTCTGCCACTTTTTTCTTTGCCTTTTGTGATATATGTCACGTATGAAAAAGAGTGTTTTAAAATAGATACACACAGTTTAAATATATTTTTTAAGTAAACACACATTCAGTCACCACCCAAGACAAGAAATAGAATATTGTCAGCATCCCAGCAGCTCCATGTACCATTCCTCAAACACATTCCCTTATCTCCCCACAGAGGAAGCCATTATTCTAACTTTCGGGACAATAATATATTTGTGGTTCTTTATAATTTGACCTCTTATGAATACACCCCTAGAGCAATATAAACTGTTTGAACTTTGTATAAATGGAACCATGCTGATGGCATCCTTCTCTGATTTGCTTCTTTTGCTCCACATTATGTTTGTGCTATTCATCCACCTTCTGATTAGCTATTTCCTGCATTTTCACCCGTGTGTAGAATCCTATTGTTTGAATACACGTGAGTATACAATGGTAGAATTCAACCTTCTACTAGTGCTGAATATTTGGTTTATTTCCCTTTTTCAGCTATTACAGTGCTGCTATGAGTATTCTTGTACATGCTTCCTAAGAAACATGTTCAATAGTTTCCCTAAGACACTGTTACCCGTTTTGGTTCTGGCATAAAAAAAATTATATTTTGAGATGAGTTTTAAGCAAGGAACCATTTGTGTGGGAAGGGTGTGGGGAAACCTCACAGGATAGGGCAGCACCTCAGGGCTAATAAGAGCAAGGCTCTGTTGCCACCCGGGGGTGAAGAGGTGAGGGCAGGAAGGGACTATGAGAACCTGGAGAGAGAGAAGGATGCAGTATGAAGAAGTTGTTGACCTTTGGTCAAAGGACCTAACCAGCTTGAGATGATCCTTCAAAAAAGTATATAAGAGAATAAATACCAACTTCATCTTCTTTCCCCCCTGAAACCTGCAGTGGCTCCCCACTGCCATGGTGCTCACTGGACATAAAGCCAGGTGAAGGGCAAAGAGTAAATCTGGAGGCAAATGGAAGGTAACTAGCAAAGCTGTCTATTTAAGAGAGCAGCTGCTGCATTGTTGAGAGTGTATATCGTCAGCCTTACTAAAGCCTAAACTGTTTTCAAAGAGATTGTTTTCAAAGCAAGAGCTCACATTGCTTCACATCCTCACCAAAACTTAGTATCGTTGAATCCTTTCATTTTGGTGAATCAGCTAGAGGTGTTAAAATACTTCTTGGTGGTTTTATTTTTCATTTCCCTTTTACAAAAACGCTGAGAATGTTTGCATGTTTCTTGGCCATCTGATTTTCTTTTTATGTAAAGTGCCATTTAAAGACTTTTGTCCAAATTTCTATTATCTTTTTCTTACTGATTCATAGGAGTCACTTACATATTTTGGATTGTTTGTTTTCTGGACTCTAGTTTTTTGCCAATTATATGGTTGCAGATATGTTCTTCTGGGTGGTTACTTACATTCTGACCCTCTAAGTAGGAAGATTATAGGTGCTTTTTGCTGTATTTTTAAAAGCGCCCTCACACAAAATTATAGTAAAAAGAAAATTAGTTGGAGCATTAGATAAAACAGAAAAAGATGTGGAGAAAATTCTGGGCAAAGAAAATAAGAATAAAAGCAACAGAGGTGGGGCAACAATGGAAAAATAAGGAAACAACTTCTATTGGCCAAAAGATTAAACATTTAAAATTTCATTTTAAATTTTTATTAAACATTACTAAATGATAACATTCAATTAATGAAACATCTAAATGAAAATAATTTAGTATTTACTCTAATGTTGAAAACACAATAAAAATAAACTTGAAACAAGATAGAAAAAAATGAAATATGGTGCTATCCACTTTTCAATACACTAAATCAGTGTTTCATTGAACTTAATTTTGTACAGAATCTATAAAAGTAAATCATACAATCAAGAACCATAGCTCTACAAGTGGGTATTTGCCTTGGCATATAATAAATTAGGCATAAGACTGGCATGCTAATAAACATTAAGCCTAATTTTAAACAATCTAGTGATTTAAAGTCCAGTTACCACTTTCCAAAGGTTGTACAATATTCTAATTTAAGCTATTCCTAAAATATTATTTCTTTATAAATTTATGTAATGAGTTATAAAGTAAGAAGAAATACATGAGAACAAAAGATTTGGTTCCTTACAGCAGTAACAGAAAATGTTTCCATCTTCATGTTTCAATTAAATAATTGTTTTTTAATAAAAAGTCTTACTGATAGCACAGAAGTATTTGGCGTAACTGCTTAAGCTAACTACTGTTAAGCTGTCTTCTTTCATGAGTATTAAAAAAAACATGATAGAAATATAACTAAGATAAATGAGGTATTTTAATACACATTAATATTTTGAATTGTATATTTTTCTCTAGAAGGTTATAATAATAAAGTGAGTGTACAATTTATCCTTTTTTACAGACGTGTGTAAAGTACAAATATAACTGCCAAGAAATGAAATACTGCCATTTAAAAGTCCCAGATAAGAAAATAATTACCTTGAATCTATGCTAAACTTTTAAAAAGTGAACCAAGTGCTTATTCATTAGATAAAGAGATTTTAAAGTAAAAAAATCAAGTGAATAACTATATTTTAAACAAAAATTCTTTTCACACAGAAAATATTATGACACTATTTTCCTGAAGGTAACAAAACCACTTATGCTAGTTCTGCTAAACTAATGTTCTTCAGAGAACTTATGATAAATATTAATTATGAATGCTCATGAGGTATCTGAAGATACTAGGAGCTAAAATATGAATATACAAAGCTGAAGAAGATACTAAGATCAAATATAGCAGCCCAGTGCCGACAAAGTAGTTAAGTGCTGAAAAATTCTTACGCTAAAATAGGTTTGTTAGAACCTGAGACCCCTTATAAATATGTTTTTATATTCACTATAAAATATAATGAAGAAAGAAATCACTTCCTGATCCCATTCCTAACTTCTCATTTTAAAATTATCTCTAAGAGGACTGATTTCTGATTGAAGTATCAAACAAGTGAAATTCTCATGGTTATCAAACAAATACACAGAAGTAGATTAGTTTATATTCCAAATTCATATGAAGGAAATGTCATTTGGGGAGGGATTATTGCACTTGCCTTTCACTAAATGAATCTGTAAACTTGAAATGAGGAAGAATACATTCATTGATAATGAAATAACAAGTTTCAATCAAAAATTAATCATAGAATGTTCAACATTCATTTGAAAAATACATCAAGGGTGTGTCTGGGATTGTTTGGTTTTGTTTTCTTTGATGCCGAGTACTTTGTCATCAGTCCTGGCCTGGAATAACAAAGAACATGCAATTAAAATGCAGGAAGAGATTTAAGAAATTGTTTTTGCAAAGAATTGATTTTAAGACTTTTACTTGATGATTTATAAAAGCAAATTTTAACATTTCCTTAAAGTTAGGCATCAAAACATAACAATTTTATTTTAAATGGAGGTATGGGGGATTGAGCCCAGATCTCGAGCATGCTAAGCAAGCGCTCTACCAAGGAGCTCTTACTCACTCTCCCCAGATATAACAATTTTATAGTCAGCTTTATTAAGACTCAAATTAGCGATACCTTTTTGTTTTTGTTCCAATCTTCTGTAGTTTTCCTGAGTTACCTTTAGAGGGAAGAAAAGTCAAGAAATTCTACAATGAATAACATGGAATAATTTAAAAACTTTATGAAAATTCAAAGAGTTAAAGCTGACTGACTAAAGATAATAAAAACTTCCTTAGTACTACATAGTTCTAAATTATACATATCAGAAACTAATTTATAGCATTAATTTCTTTGTAATTTACTTGTTTCATTACTATTATACTTAATTTTGAAGTTCAGTTAGAGTCAGAACTACCAAAAAACAAGTTAAAGAGACTTTCTGGCTATATAATTATATTTAATTTACCACTATGTCTTGGCAAATGTTCTCAGAAGGAATTGCTTTTTGATTAGGTCATTCAGCTCCCCAAAGCCTCGAGTTCATTCTGTGCAAAATCAAGCCCAAACCAAAGTTTTCCCAAAATTTAAAATTTAATCACTTCAGTTAATTCTAATCCATGGTAAGGTAACTAACATTTTTAAATGGCAGCATACACAAACTATCCCTTTAATGGTATATGTTTCAGACCATTTAACACCAATCTCAATTTTAATAAAACATTCTTAGAAAATTAAGTTCTTTAAAATGACTACAAACTCACCAGTACTTTTGGTGCTTTCTTTGGGTTGATTAACTGGATTAATCTTATCCTTTCTCAGTTCCTGGATAATGCCTTTATTTAAGCAAACATCCACATGCACATTGAACAAGGTAAGATTTGATGTCTTTTGTTCTAGATTACAAACAGGACAAACTAGAGCTTGGTCACTGGTCACTTCACATAAGTAAGGTTGGGAGGATTCTTGCCTTCTTAATGACCCGACATCTTCATTTTCCAATGAAACAGTACAAGAAGAATTCTGAGCACAGTATTCAATATTAAACGATTTGCTTGGAAGATTAGAACCTTCCTCTTTGCTGTGCTTATTACTTTCAGCATCTACATCTTCTGTTTTAGGTGAGTTACTGATGGTCTCTACCAACTCTACAGATTCTGCTGGGGTGACCTCTATATTCCTCTGATGGGTTTCATAATCCTGCTTCTCACAGAGTGAAACAGAATCATGTACAGTTTCTATCTTGTTCACTTCTGTAGAGGAAGCATGTGAACATGAGGACATTTTAGAGTTTCCACTGACTGAAGGTCCATCAAGACATGCATCTACATGTTTATTAAAGGCTTCCAGACTGACGCTTCCTTGCTCCTTAAAGCAAACAGGACAGGTAAATATCTGACAGTTATCTGAATTCTCCAGTGTTTCTAAATTCTTACTCATCTTCTTCTTTAAAACTTGGAATGATTGTGATGTCTGTAAACTCTGTTTATCTACAGTTTCAAATTTAAATGTGTCTTGGTGGCTCCATTTCCTTTCAGATCGCTTTTTATCAAAGAAACTCTTCTTATGAGACATTTCTAGAGGTTTTAGAAACTGATCTTTGTCAGTTTTCTCTAGTATACACCCAGTGGCTGATAGGGCTTGGTTTCCAGGCTGTAAGAAGCCAATAATGCTCCTTTGTTGGTGTTTTTTGTCTTCTTCATTGGGAAAACTAGATAGCCGCACACCTAAATTAAACCAACCACAATTAATTCATTTCAAATTCAAGAAAACCAACTTATTCATAAAGCATAAAGTTATTTTGCAGAATACTACTGTGACAAACATGCAAAAGGCTGTTCAGTGAAAAATAACAAGCAACACTGTATATTTTCTCAATGAAAGGATGTTTTTCAAAGGTGATATTATGAATAGAAATTTAGTATCCTTTATAAAGCTACGTATATAGAAATTAAGTATCCTTTATAAAGCTACGTATACTAAATAGTAAGTATCTACTAGAGTTAGCACAAGCATATAGGTTTTTCTGTTAATATCTGACACATGATATCATTAAATACCAAATAACTAATTGGAGTCAATTATATAGACTCTTCAGCTCCTTTTTTTTTTTAAATAGGCTTTATTTTTTGTAGCAATTTTCACTTTCTCAGCAAAATTGGGTAGAAAGTACAGAGAGTTCCCATATATACCTGCTCCCACACATACAAAGCCTTCTCCACTACCAACATCCTGTACCAGAGTCATACATTTGTTACAACTAGGGACTCTACATTGACACAACATTATTACCCAAAGTCCATAGTTTATATTAGGGTTCACTTTCAATGTTGTACACTCTATGGGTTTTGACAAGTGTCTAATGACGTGTATCCACCATTATAGTATTATACAGAATAGTTTCACTGCCCTAAAATTTCTGTGTGCTCTGCCTATTCCACACTCCCCAGTCCTTGACAACCAGTGATCTTTTTATTGTCTTCATAGTTTTATATTTTCCAGACTGTCATATGTTGG